ATTATTCCTAATTTATTTTAAGAATCCTAAAGATACTAAATAACATTTGTAACAGTGTACAAGAAACAAGGCACATATAATAATGCCAAAAAAAAACCCAACAAAAAAAACAACCCAATTATCTGATGAAGTAGGCACTTTGTCACAAAAGCTCATAACCATAAATAATAATTGTGTTTAAGCTGTCACAAACAGATTCAATGTTCTTTGCTTTGCTATGGTTTTCCCAGTTGTATGGCTGTGAACTCCTTCATGGATCACTGCCTTGTCACGGCGAAGGGGCTTGCGCAGCTCAATGAAGCTATGATCTATGCTGTGCAGAGCCACCCAAGACAGACAGGTCATAGCAGAGAGCTCTGACAAAATGTGATCCACTGGAGAAGGAAATGGCAACCCACTCCAGTATCCTTGCCATGAAACCCCCATGGACAGTACCAAAAGGCAAAAAGATATGAAGCTGGAAGATGAATCCCTCAGGTCGGAAGGTGTCCAATATGCTACTGGGGAAGAGCGGAGGGCTAGTACTAGTAGCGCCAGAAAGAAAGAAGCGAATGGGTCAAAGCCGAAAGAACGCTCAGTTGCGGATGTATCTGGTGGTGAAAGGAAAGTTCGATGCTGCAAAAATCTATACTCCATAGGAACCTGGAATGTAAGATCCATGAATCAAGGCAAGCTGGATGAGGTCAGACAAGAGATGACAAGACTGAACATAGACATCTTAGGAACCAGTGAACTAATATGGACAGGAATGGGTGAATTTAATTCAGACGACCATCAGGTATACTACTGCGGGCAAGAATCCCTCAAAAGAAATGGAGTAGCCTACATAGTCAATAAAAGAGTAGGAAAAGCAGTACTGGGATACAATCTCCAAAATGACAGAATGATCTCAGTTCGAATCCAAGGCAAACCATTCAACATCGCAGTAGTCCAAGTCTATGCCCCAACCACTGGTGCTAAAGAGGTGGAAGTTGACCAGTTCTATGAAGGCCTACAACACCTTCTAGAATTAACTCCAAAAAATGATGTCCTTATCATCATGGGGGATTGGAATGCTAAAGTAGGAAGCCAAAAGATAACCGGAATAACAGGCAAGTTTGGCCTTGGTGTACAAAATGAAGCAGGGCACAGGCTGGTAGAATTTTGTCAAGAGAATACGATGGTCATAGCAAACACTTTTCCAACAACCCAAGAGACAACTCTACACATGGACATCACCAGACGGTCAACACAGAAATCAAATTGACTATGTGCTTTGCAGCCTTAGATGGAGAAGCTCTATACAGTCAGTAAAAACTAGCCCAGGAGCTGACTGTGGCTCAGATCATGAGCTTCTGGTTGCAAAATCTAGGCTTAAGTTGAAGAAAGTAGGGAAAAGCACTAGGCCACTCAGGTATGACCTAAATCATATCCCTGATGAATATGCAGTAGAGGTGACAAATAGATTTAAGGAATTAGATCTGATAGACAGAGTGCCTGAAGAACTTTGGAAGGTTCGCAACATTGTACAAGAGGCAGCAACTAAAACTATCCCAAAGAAAAAGAAATGCAAGAAAGCAAGATGGCTGTCTGAGGAAGCTTTACAAATAGCTGAGGAAAGAAGGGAAGCGAAAGGCAAGGGAGAAAGAGAAAGATACACTCAGTTGAATGCAGAATTCCAGAGAAAAGCTAGAAGAGATAAGAATGCCTTCTTAAATGAACAGTGCAAAGGAATAGAAGAAAACAATAGAATAGGGAGGACCAGAGATTTCTTCAAGGAAATTGGAGATATGAAGGGAACATATTATGCAAAGATGGGCATGATAAAGGACCAAAATGACAGGGACCTAACAGAGGCAGTAGAGATTAAGAAGAGGTGGCAAGATTACACAGTAGAACTATACAAGAAAGAGCTTAACGTCCCTGATAACCACAATGGGGTGGTCACTGACCTCGAGCCAGACATCCTGGAATGTGAAGTCAAATGGGCCTTAGGATGTCTGAGCAACAACAAAGCTATTGGAGGTGACAGTATTCCAGCTGAGCTATTCATAATCTTAAAAGACGTTGCAGTAGAAGTGCTACACTCAATATTCCAGCAAATTTGGAAAACTCAGCAGTGGCCACAGGATTGGAAAAGGTCAGTTTACATTCCAATCCCAAAGAAGGGCAATGCCAAAGAATGTTCAAACTACCGCACCATTGCACTCATTCCACATGCTAGCAAAGTTATGCTCAAAATCCTACAAGCTAGGCTCCAGCAGTATTTATTCATTTATTTATTAAAACATTTCAATTCCACCCCTTGCCGAAGCCTTGGGGCGGCTCACAACACAAAATAAAATACAATAAAATACAAAAATAACAATATAAAATTAACAATATAAAATAAATAACAATATAAAAGAAGTCGCCCTGGCCAGATAAATAAGCAAATATTGTTAACAATTAAAATGAAGCTTAAATAAAAAGGTCTTCGCCTGGCGCCAAAAAACAAATAACGACGGCGCCAGGCGGACCTCTCTGGGGAGCACATTCCATAGATTGGGTGCCACCACAGAGAAAGCCCTCCTCCGAGTACCTACCCTCCTAATTTCTTTCATAGAGAGTTCCCAGAGAAGGGCCTCTCCCGCAGATCTCAAGGGGCGACCGGGCATATATGGATGTAAGCGCTCCTTCAGGTAACCAGGACCCAAGCCGTTTAGGGCTTTATAGGTCATCACCAACACCTTGAATTGGGCCCGGACTTCAATGGGAAGCCAGTGAAGCTGACAGAGGACTGGAGTCATGTGAACATAACGCCCTGTCCCCGTCAGCAGCCTGGCAGCTCTATTTTGAACCAATTGAAGTATCCGGACCGTCTTCAAGGGTAGCCCCACGTAAAGCGCATTACAGAAGTCAAGGCGGGAAGTCACCAGCACGTGTGTCACCGTCGCCAGGCAGTTGTACTCCAGGTAGGGGCGCAGCTGATTAATCAGCCGAAGCTGAAGGAAAGCGCTCCTCGCCACCGCTGTCACCTGAGCTTCCAATGAAAGCTCCGGGTCGAGGAGCACTCCCAAGCTGCGGACCTTGTCCCTAAGAGGGAGTGCAACCCCATTCAGGACTAGGTCAAATCCACCCTCTCCGAAGCCCGATCCGCCAACCAACAGGACCTCCGTCTTGTCTGGATTGAGCTTCAGTTTATTGGCCCTCATCCAGTATGTGGACTGAGAACTACCAGAAGTACAGGTAGGATTTCAAAGGGGGGGGAACTAGAGATCAAATTGCCAACATACGTTGGATCATGGCGAAAGCTAGGGAGTTCCAGAAAAACATCTACTTCTGCTTCATTGACTATGCTAAAGCCTTTGATTGTGTGGATCACAACAAATTGTGGCAAGGGCTTAAAGAGATGGGAGTACCAGACCATCTTATTTGTCTCTTGAGAAACCTATATGCGGGTCAAGAAGCAACAGTGAGAACTGGGCACAGAACCACTGCTTGGCTCAAAATTGAGAAAGGAGTTCGGCAAGGCTGTATACTGTCGTCCTGTCTATTTAACTTATATGCAGAGCACATCATGAGAAAGACGGGCCTAGATGAATCACCAGTTGGAATTAAGATTGCTGGGAGGAATATCAACAACCTCAGATATGCAGATGATACCACTCTCATGGCAGAAAGTGAAGAGGAACTAAAGAGCCTCTTGATGTGGGTGAAGGAGGAGAGCGCAAAAGTTGGCTTGAAACTCAACAATAAGAAAACTAAGATCATGGCATCTGGTCCTCTCACTTCCTGGCAAATAGATGGGGAAGAAATGGAGGTAGTGACAGATTTTATTTTCCTGGGCTCCAAGATCACCACAGACGGGGACTGCGGCCAAGAAATTAAAAGACGCTTGCTCCTGGGGAGGAAAGCTATGGCAAATCTAGACAGCATACTAAAAAGCAGAGACATCACCCTGCCAACAAATGTGTGTATAGTCAAGGCTATGGTTTCCCCAGTTGCAATGTATGGCTGTGAAAGCTGGACCATAAGGAAGGCTGAGCGCAAAAGGATTGAGGCCTTTGAATTGTGGTGCTGGAGGGGACTCCTGCGAGTCCCTTGGACTGCAAGACAATCAAACCAGTCAGTCCTAAAGGAGATCAACCATGACTACTCTTTAGAAGGCCAGATACTGAAGATGAAACTCAAATACTTTGGCCACCTAATGAGAAGGAAGGACTCACTGGAGAAGAGCCTAATGCTGGGAACAATTGATGGCAGAAGAAGGGCATGACAGAGGATCAGGTGGCTAGATGGAGTCACTGAAGCAGTTGGTGTGAGCTTAGACTCCGGGGGATGATGGACGACAGGAGAGCCTGGAGGAGTGTTGTACATGGGGCCGCGATGGGTCAGACACGACTTCGCGACTAGCAACAGCAACACATTCATGATCCTCTACTACTAGATTGGACACCATTGGTAGTCCAAATGTCTCCTCCTCTGCGACAGGCCCAGTCCACCAAATCTGCTCCAGAGTGTTCAGAAATTTGAATGGGCTGCAGCACAGTGGGTATTCAATCCAAAGGAGGGGGAAGGGAAAGGGGAACTTCCACTGAGTTAGATGTCTGCTTCCACAACACTGGATTTAGCCCTGTATTCTTTGAATTAAACTGTCAGAAAACCAACTATGTAACTATGTTGCTTGTAGTTCAAGATCTTGAAAATACTGTAGTTGTACGAACTGGAAGCATCCATTTCCCTCTTAAGGGGTCTAACTAAAAATGGTTAACATTAGTTTTAAAGAACAAGCTATTGCATGTCTTAAAGTATTCACAGTGATTCAAGTAGCATAAAGAAGGAATTTGTTTACATCACTTAAGATTACGGCTTGGATTACATAGATAAACTTTCAGAGAAGATAAGCAGGAATCATGCATGCATGGAGAGAACAGCAGAGCAGTCAGTAGAACTCCTGCTAATCCTGCACTCAAACCTTCACATTCATACTGAGTTTTGTTCTGTTTTTTTAAATTGGGAATTTCTGTCAGAGTACTTACCACCCAGGGCTTGTCACAGAAGTTGTAGATTGATTCTAGAGAGTTAACACTTGGGATGCCAGCATAATGCATTCCAATAATTAGGTTACGGAAGTCTTCATTCTCTGCCATGCCAAATGAGTGTTGTCGAACAAGAACAAAGTCAGGCCTGAATGATCTAAGAAAATTAGAATTTAAAAAACTATTAATTCCCTTGTAATATGAGAGAGCTTCTGGGTTAAATGAGAGATCATAACAACACTTACAGGAAAAATAACAACACTTACAGGAAAAATATCAACCCAAAACCTAGAAAATGCATTTTTGGCAGGGGAGCTCTTCTTTTCAGAATTCACTGTCTGATTTCGTATGACATGCTAAGCCACTGGGGCTTAATCTGCTGTGTGAGCCCAGTATGATGCCCTGAGGTTTGCTTGGTCCCACATGGCCTGTCTGAACCTGGGCAACACAAAAAGCCATGGCTGAGCAGAGAAATCTACAAGGCTGCTTGACCACTGGGCAGTAGAAAGGTTGGCCACTCTGACCAAGTGGCTATCAGACAACTGCCATTTCCAGCTGCTACAGAAATGCAGCTGTAGTACTTGGGGGTGGCTGGCAAAGGCTTACTCCTCCCCACTGTGATAAGTGAGCTCTTTTTGGTTCAGTGCTGCTTACCATGTTTAAAATATTTTTGAATTCATGAAAGCAGGCTGCCAAGCCCTCCTTCATGATCCCAATGACAACATGCATCAGGTGCCCTTTCAAGGATTTCCAGCAATACCTTGGAGGGGCTTTTAATACTTAGTCATTACTCTGCTCCTGGTCAAAACCAGCAGTCCCCACTCTCTCCAGTGCCTAGTGGGTGTGTATTCCTTCCGCCGCCACGACCCCTTTGCAAGGATTTGTCAAATTTGACAGGTTGAGACTGGACAACTTCTTGTGAAGCAAAATGGGATCTTTCCACCCTCTCTGCAAAATAACCTCAACATGTAGAGAGAAGCCTTGTGCCCCAGACCCCCCCCCCCCCCCAGTTTTGTAAGTGTCCCCCAATAGCAAAACTGGAGAGAATCCCTATGAGTGGAGGCAGAGCTTTGTTTGGCATGTGCTTCCCTTCTGGAATTCTTCCTGTGTTTTTCCATTCTCTGGGGGTCGGTGGCCAAATGGAAGTGTCACTTGGTCCTTGTAACCCCTCTCCCCAAACCGCAAGTATCCCACTTGGAAGGTGGAAAGGATTATAGGAGTGTTCCTCAAACATCGTATTTGCCTTGGTCTTTTGCTTTTGTTTTGTTTTGATTTTTTGCACTGGGAGCAAACCCTGTGCCTCTGAGTTATCTGCACCTAAGAAAAAAAGAGTGGCCCAGAGATCCCAATGCCACATTTAAACAGTCTGCTGTTAACAGTACTTTCCACATCCTCAGGTTTCTCAAGTACTTGCAAATTGAGATCTGCAAGGTACTACAGTGTTGCTTTTTGGAATAAATACTTATACAGTGAGTATACAGTATGGCCTATTGACCCACAGGTTTCCTGTGTCATGAGAAGCCTCCCACTGATTTGTGCTTTTGTGTTATTAAAGTTGTAATGCTATTCACAGTTACTTGGAAGTAAGTCTATTGCAATCAATACAGATTTTTCTGAGCAAACGTGCTGAGGTTTGATATGCATATCTGAAAGTAGTTTGGCTAATAACATATATTAAGAACCTATATCTTATTAATCCATAGCAATACATTTCTTTTTTATTTTTTAAAAATTAATAGCAGTAAAGTTTAAAAAGATAAAATAAAAGAATGCAAGTAAAAATTACAAAGAAATATCAAGAGTTCTTAAACAAGTATTATATAGAATGTCAAGTATTTTTCAAAAATTCCTGCAAATAAACAATTACTGTCCTTTCTACAGTAATTTTAGCAGTTAAAATTCATTGCAGATTCTTCTAATCACAAACAATTTTCTCAAAAATTCTATTCCCTTTTTACCAATATTTTTCCACTGTTATTCTCCCCATTAAAAAGAAGCTGTGTGTAATACAATTTCCATTTATCTTGATTTCTTTGGCTGGTGATCTTTCTACATGCTTAGTTAGTCTTACCAATATTATATAGTCAACTAACTAATTTTCCAGTCTTAGATAATTAATTTTCTTCTGCTTTCCATTTTAAAGCAGTTACCATGTACTTAAATAGTTCTATTCATCTTCATCTAACTATGACAACAAAGCATCAGTATAAGAGTTAATCTCTAACAAAATTTTCAAGAATTCTATTCCGTTTATATAACTCTCCTTGATAGAATAGTGAAGCATTCATTTAAATGTTAATCTCTGACAGTATTTTCAAAAATTCCTCTCTGTTCATATGTAGATTTTTCTATTATCCCTCTTATAAAGTAAGTTGTGCATAGTAGAGTTTCCATTTATCATTAAATTCTTTGGCTGGATTTCTATTTACATAATTAGCCAATTTTGCCATTACTGCATGGTCTGTTATACAGAGATACATTTCTGATCTAGCAAACAAGCATTCTGAAATATCAATAGTTTCACATTCTTGTATAAGTATCAGGAGTATAATCACAAAAGCTAGGTACCCTTTCACAGCAAGAGAACTGCTTAAGTCTGGGCTCCTCCCATGTCAGAATGCTGAAATGCAGAGGGGTGGGGAGACCAGAGAATATCCTTGGCACTGAATTCTTGCTCTCCAACAGGACCACACAGTGACTGCACGGGAAGGATCCTCCCATCCACCCCTGCTCATGAGCTGTCTGCTATTTACATGCTGCAGCAGGGATGCAGGATGACCCCGCCACTGAGTGGCTCCCTTGCCACTATTAAAATATAAATATATAACAGGCACTTCCAATATTACTGGAAACTCAATCTTAGGTATTTGTTATAAAGTCACCATATTTTTCAGATAACATGTTGAAAAGAAAAACAAAGCCAGTGGAATAAGGACTTTTTAAAAAGTTTTTTAAAGGGTTTTTTAAAAAGTATCATAAACCATTTTCTCCTACTTCTAGCTTCCAGTGAATATGACTGGCCAGAAAACACAGCAGGATTGTTAGACAGGAGTGAGGGGACTGAGGTGATGAACGCACAAACGAGGGGCACAAAAAACTCTGAGGTACTTCAGGAAATGTGGAAGAGGGGATGAATGGAAGTTGAACGCAAGAGCAGGTATGTGAAGATAGAAGCAAGACTGAAGGATCATATATTCCCTGAGATGATGCAACGTGGCGGTCTCTCAGTGCTAGTCCTTCCTTGTCTATTAAATCATGTCCTTTGTCCCTTTTATCATTCCTCTACTAAGGTATGACATACTTTGGAACACACCAAGCTACAAATCCTAGCACAACATAGCTGAGAACCAGCAGTAAATTCTATAATATTTCATAGAATGCTTTGTGATGCAACAGATGTGATGCTTTTATTTCAACTGTATGCAATGGCTTTTCTTACTAATGGGACTTCTCATTGAACAACAATGCCAAGAAATTATGCCTATGGCTCCTGTAATACCTGGCTCAGAGCATTTGTGCAATGTTGTGTCCATTTTTACATGGTTGAGATCCTACATTAAAGCAATTTCTTCTGGAAGTATAAACTGAGTTAATTGGGTTAGTACCACACAAAATGTGAGGAAGATATCACATTTGACATATTTCATTCTAACCTTCTTGTTTGTTTGTTTAATTTATTTTTTCTTTAAATCTCCAGGCAAACATCTACATTACCATTGGCACAAGTTAATCTTATTCTCCCTGGATTATGTTCCACAATATTTTTATAAATCTATGCACAGGTCCTCTCTGACTATACAAATTGCCTATACTAGAAAACTTAATATAATGTTGTGAGGCCGTAACTCACATCCCCAATTACTCACACAGACGCAGGCAATAAAAGCTAAAGACCTTTATTCCAAACGACTACAAGATTTATGTGTATGACAGAGAGCAGGAGCCACTGCAGACAGCTCTAAGCAACATAGTTGCCCCCTCCTTTCTGACCTCTCTGAGATTTGCTATGTGGATCTCAATCTCCTAGTACGTCCCTCTCTACAGGGGTTGGACAAACTCCTTTCTCTCCTTCTCTCGCTTTGTCTCTCTTCTAATTGGTCTAAGCGTCGAAGTCTCCTCCTCAGCTGGGCACTCTCCATGGCAACCAACTCCCCTTCCTGATTTCCAGGAACTTGTCCGAAAACTTGAGAGTCAGGTGGCGGGGGAAGTGTTTGTGCCATAGGCACCAAGTACACATCTCCCAGCTCTAAATCCTGATCCTCGTTGGGGGCTTCTGGCCCTCTTTCGCGTGCTAATGCCTCCTCCGAGTCGTTAGGCACAACATGTAACTTTTAAGCAGCAGAGTTTTAAAATCTCTTTCTTATTAGTACGGAATCTATCCCTGTACTAGGGAGAGATCTGCAGAGCCTTGCCTATGCTAGATCCACTGTAGCCCTTCCTTGGGCACAACAGGTCTTTATGGGGACATGCACACAGGCCTCCCAATGTTCATAATGGCCTGGCCTCATGTCCGTGAGCACGCACCAGGAAGAATAAGATAGAGTTATGCCCAACAGAGGAGTTGCTGTTTGCCCATGGAAAGACTGGATGAGCTCTACTTTACTATTAATGATTGATGCTAGTGAGGTCCATTAGCAATTTGTTGGGGTTTTATTTTTCTATTTACTTCAAAAAAACATGGATAAATCTAAGTGCAATGGGGACTTTATTTATAATGAATCATCTGTTTTGCAAAAACAGGAAGTTTTGAGTAATATTAAAGACAGGCCTCCACAAATATTGAAGCGCCTTTACAGGAACAAACAACTTTAGAAGAAGGAAAAAAAACATAGCCAATGAATAAGAACTTTTAGAACATATTTTTATGGTTTGAAAAACAAATCTGCCCACCGAAGTTGATTTCATTAGAATGTCTTATTAATAAGATGTTTGCCCTTTGCTGTACAAATTCTACCGCTATTGAAAGAAGCTCACCACACACTAATTTAATTGACTGTGATAGCACTCAGAAGAGTATCACAGATTTTAGCAATAACCTGTTAAAATAAAACAGGAACGATACCAATATTTATAAAACACCTGAGATTGTACTGTTTCACATACATAATCTTATTTTAATCCTTACAACTCCATAAAATAATTTATTTCATTTCTATATTGTCCAATAGACAAGACATAACTAAAATAGATAAAAACTATTATAGATTTCATTTCATTGTATTCTTAAACTACAGTATAAAATATTAATAGTGATAGATTTAAATATAAAACCAATTTTAATAGTTTACATACCTAGGACAAGTCCATACAGCTAAAAAACAACAACTGACAATACTCCTCATCTACCACATGCTAATTCGGGTTGGTAAATGCTTCAGTAAAGAGGACACTCTAAACATGGCTGAAAAAATAATAAAGTTGGAACCAGGCAGGAGTTAGGGGATAAATCATTCCATAATTTGGAAGATGCTGCTTCTTTGCTTCTGCCAAGCAAGCTTCCCATGGAGGCGGCTTTTGGAGGACAGTTCAGATATTGACTGTAGTGTCTGAACAGATTACTGTTGGAACTAGTGTTTTCTCAAGTATTTTACTCCCAACCATGTTAGGCTTTGAAGGTTAAGACCAGTCTGAATAGGGCTTAGAAGCACATAGGCAGCAAATGCAAGTGAGCCAGAACTGGTGCTATATGTTTGGACATTCTGGCTCCAGTTATTAGTCTGGCTGCTGCATTATGTTCAAGCTGTAGTTTCTGAATGATCTTCCAGGGAAACACCACACAGAGCATATTGCAGTAAACTATTTTAGAGATTACCAGAGTGTTGTTTACTAAAATCAGTTTTTCCCTATCCAGACAAGGACATGGCTGAACCACTAGCCAAAACTGGTAGAAGGCACACCGTGCCATGGAGTGGCATAGATGACTCAAGGAGCATCTCCAGGCAATGCACCAACTCCTTCAAGAGGAAAGTGCAACACCATCCAGAACAGGCAGACCATCGTCCATTTGGTCAGAGGAACATTAAAAGCATCTCAGCCTTCTCTAATTTGAGCTTCAGTTTGTCAGTCCTCATCCAGTCCACTGTCACAGTCAGGCACCAATTTAGCACATCCATGGCCTTGTCTGCTCAAGCTGAAAATGAGAAACAGAGCTGCATGTCATCATCAAACTGATGACAACACACTTCAAAACTCCGGACAGCCCCACTCGTCAGTTTCTTGTAGAGCTGAATGGCATGGGGGACATGACCGTCACCATGCAGCCAAGGAATACTCTTCAAGCATCACCTTCTGGCAAAAATTATGTCATATTATTTAACAGTGACAGTTTGCACTTTAAGCTTGGTTAGTAATGGTCTTTAATATTTTGTCGAAACACTTTTGCATGTAAGGGTTGCTACTCATCAAACTATCTCAGAGAAGATGGAGGCAGTTATAAAACCAGAAAGGTGACAGATTTGGTTGTATAATTGCCTGTGAAAAGTTACATGAAGGAATACTAATTCTAGTGTAGACCACCAGTCATGAGTATTAATCTAAATTAATTTTGATTTTGATACATAGCTTACCTGACAACTTTAACGCCATTTCGGAATGCTTGTATGTCTACAGCATAATTGCCATCAGCATGAGCTATCAAATTGACTTCTGAAAATTGTGCCTGTTAGATAAAAAGAAACTGCGTAAATAAACCAGTCAGATTAGATTCTTCCTATAACTAAGCTGCTACTCCATATAGGGTTAGTGCTACTGACTCTGTCTTCAACATTTGCACTGCAGGAAGTCAAAGGCAGAACAAGTAAAATAAGAAGTTGCTACAGGAGCTTTTTCCTCAAGGCATGTTAGTAAACCTGTGTAGAACGCAAAGCACTTTTTGAAATATGTTTCATATGAAAGCAAGAAGCAGTATGTGAGTCTGTCTAAAAATGGAACTAGCAGAGTCTATATCGGCTGTGCATCAAGGCTACTTCTGTAACATGGTCTCTGTAACAAAGAAATGAACAGGACTGGGGTTATCTATATCTAATTAACACATTCACTCCAATTCCATAGCCTTCTGCACAATCTCTTCTTCCCATCTTTAAAAGCCATTCTTCAGAAAGAGGCTCCAAGACTTTGCGTTTGCAAACAACACGACAACCCATTGCAACTAACTACCCATAGTGAGTTACTGTATTATCCAACCTCAGGCCAGTTACCATGGCGTGGTGGGGAGACATTTCTTTTGGAGAAGACTAATTGCAGGGTGACTTGTCATGCTGTGTGACTTTGCTCAAAGTGTATCAAGGCTACCATGCTGGAGAGTTTGGTTCGATGGCAATGGTATGAAGATGGGACTAAAGGTACCAACTCTAGGAGGCCCAGCTACAATTCTTCCTACCACAGTTAAAAGAAGGCTGCGCTTCTGCCCCAAAATTGGTTCAGAGATTAAGCAAAATGTAACACACTCATAGAAATGCACATCAGAACAGTGAGTATATAACAACAGCCTACAATTTTAGGTGGAAAAAATGGAAAATAAGCTAGGATCTGCGATATATCTTTCCTTCAATCTTAGTAGATCTAGCCTGTAGCTCAAGTGGTGATTTCAGATAAGAAAAATGGTTCCTGAAAAAGAAGTGCTCCAAGAAAGGATGCTATCAATAGTGATTTCACCAACAAAAGACATAGATAACCAACTGTCTTTATGTAAGACTAGGAGGGGAAAAACTAATGGATGCACTTTCATTCTAAGTTTAATTAAGAGTGTGACAGCTCCAAAACTGGGGAAAAATTCCTGCTTGGTGATTGAGCCAAACCCGGAGGGGGGGGATCACTGGAGGGCCAAAAGATGTCTGAATGTCAATAATTCATTCCTTGCCCACTCAAAAAGTGCTGTTTGATTTTAGTGTTTTTGCTAAGTTTAGCTTCCCATGTGTGACTCACTGCTTCATTGCTGCTGGCAAGATCCCTTGGTCAATTGTTCTGGCATGATTCTAAGCCCTGGGCCTGCTCCAAGGGGAGTATCTTAAAGTGAACTTAAAGGTCACCAAATAGCACGGGGGCGGGCTTTGCCTGCTCTGCTATTGAGCTGCTTGCCAGCATTGTATTATCTTGCCACGTTCTCAGGAGAAATTACCACACATCAAGTACAAAAGTACAGCAGGACCCCATATTCGCTGGCTTGGTGACCATGTTTTCTTTTAAATGCAGTTGACTTCAGCCCAAAAGAAGTCGTAAAACATCGTAAAGTGCCAAAGGAAGTCGTAAAGGGCTTCCCGTAAGTGAAGATTCTTGGTTGAATAGGGAAAGAAAAAATGTGTGCTGAGGTGAGAACCAACCACATTACCCCCCAAAAATAAATGCAGAATATAGCATATACAATATAGTGTTCACTATTAGCTGTGGATTCAAGTATCTGCAAGGGGGTTGGACCTGATCGCTGTGGATATAGGGGTCCTGCTGTATAAGAGAATGCAGGGATGTATAAATATGATAATAATCTTGGACTTCAAAGAAAATAAAGAACTTTGTACAAATGATTCTAAATGTGTGCTTTCATATGCACATAATTGTTATATGGCTTTTTTTACTGTTGTGTTACAATGTGATTGTGGTATTTTAACTGTTGCAAGCAATCTGTTTGCACTGGAAGGGTTCGGCTTAAATCCAACAAATGCATGTTGTCTAGGGTCAATATTAGTACTTCTTAAGTCATTTTTTATACGAGACTAGACATAGCTGGACAATTCATTTTTAATATGATCTTAAACATAAGAACAGAAGAAAACCATGGATCTTGCAGATGTGCAGTTTTCATGTAAATTTAATTGTATTGGTTTTATGTAGATACATTTGTAATTTGATTTTGACCTAGGTCCATTCTCAACAACCTGAATACAATATGTTATGGATATAGGGAACTGAAACAAAATGGTATATATAAAATTGACAATAAATTTGTACCTGTTCAACTCTGATGTCATATTCCCCAAGGATCTTTTTCCCACGAAAACATTTGGTCCTGGAAAAGATAAGGAATATTTTTGTGATTGCAAGGCATTAGGTGTAAATACATGGTAACAATTACATAATTATCCTTGAGAAAACTGGGCAATACTTTTTAACATCATTGAGCTATTTGGGTGGATTTTACGTTTCATTCAAACACATCTAACGCAGAAAAGAGCTATACTTGTGCTTGACATTCTAAGAATAAACCTTTGTGTTTATTTTCTATATCTACATGCTGAAAAGGCTGATGCCTAAAAAACATGAGACTCTTTTATATATTGGCATACGGACGATAGCACTCCCCCTCAGATTCACCTTTTTTTTGTAAACATCCGCTGGATGAGGCAATCATTAAACCTCTGGCATGCTTCATGTTTCAACAAATGACTTCAGTTTTGAAAACAAACACTAATACTGAACACTAAATTATGCCATCTGGAGTCTAATAAAACATTAAACAAAGTAAGACTAGGAATATTTCCACCGGCTTGCTTCCACAGAAGCACAAAAAGCTTTCTGAACATGTTAGGCTTAAAAGATCATTCTTGATTTTTTACCCAAGCATAACTTTATAAAGCATATTCTTGGATCCCAAGGACTAAATTCAGACTAACTTTTCAAGTGCTCATTGATTCAGATCTTGGCCTCCTTCCAAAGTTAAGCAGTGCCTTCAGTACTTCAAAAAAGAAAAGAAAACCTGCAAACCTTAATTATTTGCAGCATTCTAACTTGAGAAATTTGCAACGATGTTGGATATGGATTCATTTACTGTGTGAATTACATCTTTACATGAAAAAGGGGGGCAGCAAATACAAATACAAAAGGTACTAAAAAGTCATGCTTGGTAATGATGGTGTTCCCCTGCTTGGTTTACAGTTACAATGTTAGGCAAATCAACAGTGGCTAAGAAACCAGCTGCTTGCCAGTTTCAGAAAGGTTAACAAAACAAAGCCCTGCAGGTGCAAGTAAAAATAGTTTTTTACTGTGTTGGAACTGAAGATGATGAATACTTCCCCTCTTTATGCAGCATTCATGTTCCTAGCAGAATACAGTGTACATTAATTAATATTAATGACCCTTGATTACATTTTAGGAAGGAAAGCTCTAGGTCTGCAAGCTGGAGATTAGTTTTGGTTGAAAATCACTGACAAAATTAACAAGAAGCTGCCAGCACGAGTCAGTCAGTGGCCAAATGCATCTTGCTTAGAGCTACTAATAATCAGAGACATTTAGACAACCCAGATGTAACAGCACCCCAATCTGAGATTTCCACGTCAAATGTTTCCTGTGAAAAGATACCTGGAAAGGGGCAATAGAGCTGACTTCCACACTGACACTGACATTAAGAGTTTCATGGTAACGTTTTAAAATATCATTCCCTCCTTTGTGTCTCTGGGGATGAATAGCGTATTTCCCCAAAAATAAGACCTAACAGGAAAATAAGCCCTAGCATGATTTTTCAGGATGCTCGTAATATAAGCCCTACCCCAAAAATAGGCCTCAGTTAAGATCATGAGCCAGACGGACGCATTTAGCATGTCCATTGCAACACACGATGGACATATTGAATTATAAAATAATAATATATAATTAAATATAAGTAAATAATGTTGTTGCGATGGATCGGACATGACTTCATGACTAACAACAACAAATAATATTATTGACATCAATATTTAAAATAAATGCAAATATAAATTATAATTAAGTATTTGTAAATACCCAAGTGGCTGCCTTTGGATGAGAGGTAAATGCCTCAAGACTTATTGCCGAATGACCAATTGGATTACAGACACAATGCACAAATAAAGTGCGCACTTGATGACAAACGAACCTGTTTCATAATTCATACACTGGGTGTTGTAACGGACATACTTAATACATTCGTGTGTTGCCACTCCTATTTTGTAAGTCTTCAATTAACACTTGATTGAATGGTAGATTTAAAGGGAATAATATTTTGACCCCCAGACGAGTGCAAAAAGAAAGAGCTACTCCATCGAATACAAGAAAGGAATCATGGAGGACACTCAGGGCAAGAATCTTATGGCTTTTGTATGAAAAAATAAGACAACACCTGAAAACGAGCCCTAATGCGTCTTTTGGAACAAAAATTAATATAAGACCTGGTCTTATTTTTGGGGAAACACAGTAATTCAATATGCCCATCCTTCCATTGGACCAAAAGAGGGATGTAATTGGGTGTGCCATTGTAGGATGTACATTTCCTTTGTCCAATATGATTTAATATCGTCCTGATCACAATATATATCTATTGTATAGACTAAAATGAATGTATATTTAAGCTATAAAATATGTTTTAGATCCAAATATAAATATTGTTGTATCTCTTCAGTACTGGCATCAAGTTTTTGATTTAAAATTAATGAATGGATTATTTTAAGATAATCCTATTTAGTAGCCAAGATTTAGTTCCCCAATTTGTAGACAAGATTTCTTGTCCCCAGACAATACTGAACATGGCTAAAACTTCTATTTAAAACCAGAGCTTCTAAGTTGCATCACTGGTTCATTTTTTCAATTTAATCCTGCTTTATAGCCCCAAGTCTCTCAAAAGGAGAAAACGTTATTAAGCAAAAACATACTCAGCTCTAGCATTAGAAACTGAAAAATTGTATGCTGTTGACAAAGATTAGCAGTCTATGCCATGCTTTCCCAGAAGTTCTGGTTTACCAAAACTAGGCCAGTTCAGGCTCAGATTTCAGTTAAGACTTAGTTGGATCTGGTCATGAAGCCAAGCAAGATTCTAATAGACTTCATTCTAAGTACTTATTTCATACTTTGTTTAGATCGTGTCTCCTCATGTTCTGGTTCCTGAAGAATCTTAGGTTCTACATGATGCCAGGTTTATTCAGGCATCATTTCATACACTTTTCTCCGGCTTGACCACCACCTACTGAGCAGCCACTCCCATGTGTATGGGAAAAGAATCCATGAGGTGAGCAAATGCCTGGTGGAGCAGCTATGAAAATGGGAGGAAGCATAAATGAGTGGAGAGAAAGCAGAAGTTTGTGGTGAGGTGTAGGTTTAAAATAGTTAAAATGTCAAAAAATACAGAAAAAATGTGCAACTGCTACATACAGAACTAATATTCTAATGACAAGCATGAGTAAAACACTCTAGAGCTTGCTGATGACACTATGAACATCTTTCACATTATAACACATTATTTCCAAATGTTTTTAATAGTGAATATTGGTAATACAACATGTGGTAGATAGCCATTTATAACTTAGAGTAAATGTGGTTTGCTTTGCTGCTCCTTAGTGTCCTCTTTTGGTTTGTAAGACCAATTCATTCCATTACCATTTTTAACTTGTGAAAACACCTTTTGTCATAAGAACTGTGCAGGAATTCCCTTATTTTAACAGGTCTTGTAATGCTGTCTTCAGTCAAGGTAATTTTATCATATGATATAAATTCATAACAGCTCATTTAAGGCATGCTGACACAAAGAACCATTAGGCTATTCATAATTCAACTTTATGGTTTAATTCATTGTAGAATCCCAGAGTCAAACTCCAAGGTAGCACAAGACATTATTTTACCTATTTTCTTAACAAACATTTCCTCATTTGGGCCTGAAAGTTAATTTAGTTCAACCTACGCACATATTTTTGATCACGTTCAGCATCTCACTTCACCTAGAAAAATGCCTAATAGTGGAGATATATATGGTTGGTTTAGTAACGCTAACTATAGTTTAGTGTTAAAAGATTGAACCTTAAATTCAGATGCTTTCCTTTCTCCTTCATCAGAGACTTTCAGCTGTTGGGCAGTATAGAAAATCAATCAATCAATCAATCAATCAATCAGAACATTCTGCTTCCATTCTAGATTCACTGTGGCTCAGCCATGGTGGTCAAACATAAATGTGGTTATCAAACTTTGGTTTGATCATGATTAGTAGAAACAAAACAACTGCAAACTGTGTTCCTAAATAATAATTTAAAGTAATTGAATATTAGAGTCATGCCATCACCTTCCCTGATTAAAATGCTTAAGATAATATTGAAATGATGAAGAAAATTAGGAAGCATCAAAGAAAGAGCCATTTGTACAAATACTTGATAAATGCATGATCTAGTCAGGATGTAGAGGTAAAATTTATAGATACCCCAGATGACTGTGCCCCAGAACAGTTAGTCCTGGAACAAATCAAAATAAGCTATGTAAGCCACCTTAGATTCCTCACAAGAGGCAAAAAGGTGGGATATAAATGCAATGTAATACTACTGCTGATACGAGGGGTCTTCAAAAATTTCTGTACTTTTATATTTTATAAATATATTTTATATATGTTTTGCTGATGGCATTAAAAAGTTGGTATGACACTGGGGAAATGCATTGCAAAGGATGGTGACTATGTAGACAAGTGATGCAATTTGTTTTTTAAATTCTAAAAATAGAGTTTTAAAAAGAGCGGCAACTTTTTGAAGAACCCTCGTAATAATCCAGAGGCCAGGTGACCCTTGACTAATCCTAGGTGATGTTCAGTAACACTAGTGCAACCTAAGTGTTACTGAACATACTTAGAAACTATGATGGCAATGACATCACTTTTTAATATATATAAAGGTGAGTGCCAAAGAAGCCTAATACAGTCACATTTGACTTTGAAAGAAGAAAAAATGGGGGACTAGTAAAAAGAAGACTGATAGGGAAAGTCAAGAGGGTACAATCTCCCTACAATATGTGGACTTACTTAAAACCAACAAAATAGAAGTTTGGTTAGAATCTAGAACACTGGTCAAGAAAATGCAAAGTAAAGTTGAATCTAAGAAGACACCAATGTAGTTAACAAGTTGAATCCAGAAAATTGTTGAAGTGGTAACAGTGGCTGGGTTCACAACAACCCATGGTGCGGGGGTTTTTAACATCGTTGGTCAGTTTTGTTGCCTGAACCCAGTCATGGTAAATTTGATATGGTAAATTTATAAATTTGAACTTTAGGAACCATGATAAGAATCCAAGATCTGTTCTATGGCTTTTCTGTATCATCATGACTTGGTGTGTTGTCTGAACACATAGATCATGGTTTCTATTGTCCTGATATGCAACTACCACAGAGTTCTCTGGAAAGAGTGGCAACTGCAGAAGCCACTCCAGCCATCCAACCTGTGTGTATGGATGTAGGAGGAACAGGCCAGTGACTCAGGCAGGAAATGATGGACCTTGGATTGAATTTCAGGTAAAATTGCTGATGGGATACACCCCAATAGTGGGGGGACTGAGCAGGGAAACCCTGATAAAGTAGAAACCACCTGATTGTCAGTTTTTTTTTGGTTGAAAAAAACCTGAACAAACTTAACCACACAGGGTTGCTTGTGCTGTTGTGTGAATCCATTCAGAGTTTGCCAAGTTTAGGTCACTGTTAAACCAGTCCTAAGCCTTATTTTAAAAAAAATCAATTTCACCCCATTTTTGATTTGATATACAATTGCATTCATGATTTATCCCTGTGCTATAGGGTGATACAATCATGCATATACCTTTTGTTTAATGGGCACTGTTATATAGAGTGTTGGCAACACCAGTCAGTGCCAGTCACTTTATAAGTGATGATGAAGTGTTCACATAATTGGGAATGAAGCCAGAAGGAAAACATGGCACAAGGAGTAGAGCTAATTGCCTACATTACCCCAATGGCTGCACATTCAAGTGCACGTCTGCATTTCGGCTGATACAGACAGGGACCCAGATGAATTTCAGGGCCATGGGGAAGGCTGCTTATTGTTGCTCTGGTTAAACTGTTGAGGATCAGAAACGCTTGTTTCTCTATTAGCAATCACCAAGAGATCTGCAAGTAGACACTAATCTTATTCTACTTTCTTCCCACTCCTGATTTAATCTCCCTGCCTTCTGCATTCTTAATTTTCCTTGTCCACTTGCCTGCCTCTGTGTTCCAGCCTTCTTTGGAGAGACTCTTGGCTTATAGCCTGGACTGTGATTAGGTATGGATTAGGGCTCCCCATTGAGTTGGAGCTGCAGGAACATTTCTCCTGAGCCAGGCCTTGGGGCCCAGTAAAAAGCTACCTCATTACTGAGATGATCCTATAATTAGTTCCTGACCTTTTTGCTTTCCTCTGTACTCTGAAAAAAACCCTCATCATTTGCTCTCTCTCTCTCTCTCTGTTGTTGTTGTTGTAGAAACAGCAATAAAAATAAATGAAATGAATGTCCTGAAAGCTTAAAATAGGCAGAGTGGCGGGAAGCAGGCATGCTTGCATGTACCGGGGGCAGGAGGGGGGGTGGCATGAGAAGGGAAGGGAGTTCCCCTCTAGCTCACATCCAGGAAAGGGAATGAATTGCCACTGCTGGGATGGTGGCTGCACTGGCAGTTTACTAAAAGTAGAACAAAAAACAAGAACACTTCTGCTGCCTCCCTTAACAATCCAATGTAGGAAACAGCTCTATATCTGCACCTGGAAGAGAGGGGGAGCTAGCAGGCCAGTGCTGGGATCAGAGTAGTCCCCAGCAGCTACTCCAGCAAAGGAAGATGAGGCTCTCTGGATCAGGGCCATGGGAATGCCAGAAAGGCTCCAATGCTATACGAGATCCACACCCTTCTACTGCTTGCCAAGGACACAGTTCGTGGTAAAGCACCTTAAAAGGAGGTCCGGATTCTTCAGCCCTGATGAATGGAAAAAGGTGGGACCCTGCATTCCAAATGCTTTCTGTTTTTAACTAATAAATGATGTAGTTCATTTCTAAAGACGGAAAGGTTTGTTCTCCCGAATGTCAATGAGAGACTGAGAGGAATAGCAAGAGAATGGGGAAGGGGAGATAGTCCTTCCGTTTATTGAAATAGGCCAATAAAACCTGTCAAAGGCCAGACTCAGAATTAAAAAATGATGGGCATTACTAAATATGGACCACTCCTTCCTAACAAATGTGCTCAAATATGATCAAATGTATTCAGCGATTCCACAAAAAAAGTGTCAGCTATGTATTTGAAAAGACAGCTGGGAATCACAGGAAATACTAGAGTGGAATATAACAGTTTGACATCTAGATGTTTAACAAAAACTAACAATAAATTCCTATGCTTGTTTAGTCAGGAGAAAGTCTTACAACTTCCAGCATTTTCCAGCCAATGCTGGGACTTCTAGGAATGTTTCTGTCTAAATATGCATAGGACTGCATCTTAACTGAACAAATTATGCCATTCTAGAGAAAGAGATGAGTAAAGGAGGGATCCAGTTCATAATTTCTTCTGTGCTTGTGGGTAAGAGTAAAATTCTTATAAAGTCTGTACAGTACTTAGCTGCCTCACTTTCTTAAACATATCATTGCAAAAGGAAAAAATGCAAAATTCATGCCGCCGTAATATCTTTATCAAGTCAGCTCCAAGGTCACAAAATCCTCTGCAACCTTCTCAAAACTGTTCACAGTATTTTGTGGCGTCTGAGTTGGCTCAATAAAGTTATTGTCTTTCTCTGAGGTTACCTGAGAAACTTCTTTTTTCTGTACAGATCGTGCTGTTATGAGTTAGAGGCTTTGCTTACTATACCCTTGGACTCTTGATTTGGCTCATTTGGCTGTGGTACAAAGTAGGGCCTTCTCAGCTGTGGTACCCACCATGTGGGAATGATCACCCGTTTGAGATCTGACAAGTTTCCAGTGTGAAGAACTTCTGCTGCCAACTTACACATCTATTTGCCTCAACATTTCCCTGACTGCTAGCATTATCAGTTAACCATCAGTATTGATAGTATTTTATGGTTAACCATTGTCAGTTTTTAATTTCATTTATTGCTTTATCATTTTTATTGTATTAATGATGTTGTATTTTATTCTAAGGATCAACTATTTTATATTATATTTATTTATTATTTATTAATTTAAACAATTTCTATGCCGCCCCATTCGCAAAAAGCCTCGGGGCGGCTTACAACATAAATAATTATATAATTAGCCTTAAAAAATCCGGAAACATCTCGGCGCGTACATAAAAACCCAATAAATACAATCAATAAATTAACAATTAAAATAACTTTTAAATAAAAAGGTCTTGGCCTGGCGCCGATAAACAAATAACGGTGCCAGGTGGACCTCTCTGGGGAGCACATGCCATAGGTGGGGTGCCATCACAGAGAAGGCCCTCCTCTGGGTACTCACCCTCCTAATATCTTTCACGGAGGTTTCCCGGAGAAGGGCCTCTGCTGCCGATCTCAAGGGGCGGGAGGGCATATATAACCTAATTTAAGCTTGTAATGTACTTTAGAATTTATTTTTAATAAATGAAACATGATATAGAAGTTATCTGAAATAGATAAGTAAATAAATATTGTGCTAAAATGGAATTTAGCTTTATTCTTTTACAATTTTTTTGATCAGTATGGCCAAACATTCCCTTTTATGTCATTGCTGTTATTTCACAGCTGTGCATATTTCCCCCTTAGTTTGCTTTCTGCCTCCTGGTTCCCTTCATTATCTAAGACGATTAAAAAAAAAAAAATAGGTGTCTGGGCTCGCCTGAGTGGAAGGTGATGCAGAGAATAAACTTGCACCCAAGTTCTGCTGCTGAAACTGCCTTGATACACTGGCAGTTTCAAAGTAACACTTTCAAAATAAGAAAGCCTATCTTTTATTCTGTTAGCAAATGTCAAGCAGAAATAGGTTCAATTTAGTTCCTCTTTTAGATGAGCTTGGCTGTGGAAACTAGTTTGGAATTATACCCTATAATTAGTAAAAGTACAAAAGCTACTTTTTTGAATTTGAGCCACTTATTTTTGCTATACAGAATCACAATATTTTCCCAAAGGGTATTTTTGTTCCCAGAAGCAAGTACTATTTTTGCAACCGAACATAGGTCACAATCTATCCTATTTCAGTAAGAGATAGTTAAACATGTATTTAACTATCCTGTTGAAATACATTGAACTTAAAAGTGTTCAACTCAATAATGAAACCTCGTTCCTATTTCTTAAATCCAACAGCTACTAGTGCCTACGGAGGCTGGTGGGACAGAACAGTAGACTCACTGGGGGACTAGGACTAGGACCACTCTTTGGAATCTTCAAAAGATAACAACCCATATCACTGAAAGGGAAAACTGAGGAAAGGCAGGTTGCTTCCCTGTAGCTATAGTTCTTCAAGTACTCATCTGTGCATTCACACACATGGGGTCTGAGCCTGCATAGAGCCTATTCCTGGGAAGCTTAGAGCATTTTGGCGAGAGCCACCCCCTACCCCAGCATCCATATAAATGGGAGGAGTCCTAAACAAGGCCACCAGGTGGCCTCAGGACAAAAGGATGATTGGTACTGACTTTGCATTCAGTGAAGCTGTATAGTGCAAGGAAAAGACACACGGACACACGTGGAAAGACATGGCCACAAATTGCTAAGTCACTCACAACACCCAGTGCGGTAGGTGGATAAGCTGTGTGAATGTACAGATGACCACTCCAAGAGAGATGGTTATAGAAAGCCACCTTCTTTGTGGTCCCTCTGCATCACACACATGGGCAACTAGCAAGCTTACACATTCTTGGATGGTGCAATGTTGAGGAGAGAACTGCTCTCTTGAATGTGTACTTGGCCCGGCTTGATCAAGTTGGTAATGTTTTGCAAAGGTGCATGGTGTTGACCGGGTCACCATCTTGCACAGGTCCAGTAGAGGACTCTCTGCATGCAGGGCTGTCGAAATTACTACCTCCTGAGCTGAGTGCACTTTTGGCCAAACTGGAACCTGCAGTCCTGACAGTTCAAAAGCCAATGATATTGTCTGCACCACCCAGGCTGAAAGGGGCTGTCCTTTAGTCTTGTCTCCATAACAAACAAAATGCTTTGGGATGCATTGAAGGATCCAGTCCTGGAGGGCTAGAACACCAGTGCTCTATACACATTCAGGGTTTGCAGCATAGACTCCATCCACTAGGCTACACTGGGATGGGAAAAATATTGGCAAAACAATGTCTTGGTTCCCAGTCCAACACAAAGGAGTGAAACCGCTCCCTTCTACTGTCAGTCCCAAGCAGCTCCAGTGGACATTGAGCTGGTGATGACAGACCCAATAGTTCTGAAATGTCAGCCACTGCGGGGAGATGAGAGGATGGTTATCCTAAATCTCCTCCTCAGACATCAAGGATGAATTTGAACCTTGGTTCTGATGCAGTGTCTTCCTGGGTGCTTGGTTTCCAAAATGGCCAGTAACTGGCCAAGAGGCTGTTTGACACCACTTGGTTTTGGTGACCAAAGGGTCCACTGCTTTCACCTCTTTGGCCCACTTGGCCAACTTTTTCACCTTTGGAAGTTTCAAGAAGCTGCCTTGAAGCTGAAGGAGGTGATGGAGCCACAGATGGATAGTGGATGTGGTTGAATGTACAGACCTTTGTGAAGTGACAGAGGTGGCAGTGGATAGGTAGGAGAACTTAGGTGCACCTTGGGTGCCAACTGAACAGAGAGCCTTGTTCCAGAGTTTGGTGCATAAGTAGTCAGCTTAACACCTGCTTAGCAAAGGCCTGGCAGTGGGGACACTGCTCCATCACATGCCCCTCACCCAAGCACAGTGAGCATAGAGAGTTCCTATCCATTAAAGCTAGCTTAGCACTGCACCTCATGCACTTCCTAAACTGCACCTTCTATGCCATCGAGAAGCAAAGAAGGGGAAAAGAACGATGAAGAGAAAAACTGAAAAAATACATATGGTATGTGCAATACAGAAGAACATGAAGAGTCTTTCTTTCTTTCTTTCTTTCTTTCTTTCTTTCTTTCTTTCTTTCTTTTGTGGGTAGGCCAGAAAAGAAGCAGTTTTTTGAGAAAAAAATCTTGCGAAGGGAAGGAAAAAGTTGGGCATATTGCACAAGCCACAATTTCTTGAAAGTAAGAAAAAAGAAGAATAAACACTCAGGAAAAAATCTCATGAAAGAGAAAGAACTACTTGATGCTGCTTTCAGGAAATTGAGGGAAATGGTGGGATCTTCTCCCTTTTATATGGGTGTTAGGGAGGGGTTCCCACCAAACTGCTCTTACCTATTGAATATTCCCTGTAACAGGTTCCGTACAGGTGCAGAGACCATATATATGATGCACAGAGACTACAAAGAACACAACTTTAACCTTTTGTGGGCAAAGGGAAAATCACGCAACCACACAAAAGCACATTCTCCTATTTAAGCAATAGCTTCCAATTTACAGAGAATCAAGTAATTTTAAGATCACAAAACACTAACTTAAAGAATGCCAGTGTAAGAATCCCTGTGATCTCATAAACTCAAGCTCCTGCTGCTGTTGCTAATGATATGTTATCATCAAAGCCACACAACCAATGCTGCATCATGACAGGCCCAGGACTTGCAGTCTTTAGAGTGGGACTCTACTCTGACCCCTATATTGAACTCACAACTCACAGCATACACACATGGTCAACCATGAACAATAATAATGCAAGAACTATTTTCAGTAGGCATTTCAGTAGAAATCATCAGGAAAGTATTGTGCTTTCCTAAAAGCAAAGGTATCTTCCATGGTCATGCAACACAAGTCCCATCCTTTTACAGGGCACCAAAACAACCCCCCCCCACACACACACACACACTGACCCTCCACTCCTAACAGCTAAACAGGGCATACAACAGCTGCTGTCGATCCAGATCATTCTGCTGCATCCCGTTCCACAAATATTTGCAAATATTTGAAACAAAG